TTGGGTTTTTAAAGGTGGCAAACGTTTTTAGGAAACTCCCATACCCTTCTTAATGGGAAACATTCATTCACGGCTAGTGTATATATGTTTAAATATGCGATCAGTTTTCCATCTCAAACTTTCTGTTTCCAAATGCATTCCCCCGCCCCCCATTATTTCAAATTGTGTTTATTTTAATATGTACTGCTTCGATGCATTTTAAAACATTTAAAATTAAAAATTCAGCAGAAGATTTTTTTTAAAAAAAATTAAACCCAGCGTTTATCTAAGTTATGATATGTTTTGCAGCCTTTTGATTGGGGATTAGTTCAGTATTCTAGAATTTATCAAGATCAACTTCAGTATGAAACTCTAGGGACCCTGAAATGTACTCAGCACATAGTTCACAACCTATGTTCATATTTATCACAGGATTGCATGTTGGTTTTTTTAAAGGGCTTGTCATATGAACATGCCAATGAATAAAGATACAAGTAATCCTCAACTTATGACCACACTTGAGCACAAAATTTATGTTGCTGAGTGAGAAATTTGTGAAGTGACTTTTACCCCATTTTACGACTTTTGTCACCATCTTTGTTAAATAAACCACTGCAGTTCTTAAATTAGTAAGATGATTAAGTGAATCTGTTTTCCCCATGTACTTTGCTTGTTCAAAGGTCACAAAAGGTGATCACGTATCTCTGTGACACTGCTACCGTCATGACACTGCTACAGTCAGTTGTTAAGCATCCGATTGTAAATTACGTGACCATGAGTGATGGGTTTCAAAGACCAGTCATTGTGCAGGGTGCCAAGATGTCTGACTGCCTGGGCAGCATTTATTGCATTTTATAGGGTTTTTACAAGAAGACAAAGGCAACCTAGATGCAGCATTCAGACTGGTGAATCCCCTCATAGATACAGCATTAGGATTGGAGAATAGATACAGCAGGTGAAACCTCCCAAGCAATCCTTAAGAATAGTGGTGATGTTAGTAAAATGAGATCACTTATAAGTCTGGAAAGTCCGAGACTTTCCAACTCAAGAAAGATAGGGAATGAGATCATGAAAAGAGCAAAGAGGCCCATATAGATTTTAGACACTGCAGTGTGCTGCTAGCGCCATCTACAGGATCTCAATTGCTACTATACATGGGGATACTGCAACAATTGTAAGTGTGCAAAACGGTCATAAGTCACTTTTTTCAGTGCCATTGTAACTTTCAACGGTTACTAAATGAACTTTTGTAAGTCAAGGACTACCTGCAGTCCTGGATTTATGATCACAACTGGGACCAGAATTTCTGTTGCTAAGCAAGGCAATTGAGTTGTACCTAATTTTATGACCTTTTTTGCCATTGTTAAGTGCATCACTACAGTTGTTAGGCAAATCATGTGGTTATTAAACAAATACAGCTTCCCCATTGACTTTTACATGTTGGAAGATAGCTGGGAAAGTCATAAATGACCCCCGGATGCTGGAACCATCGTACATACAGTACATGCTAGTTGTCAAGTGCCTGAATTTTGATTGTATGACAATTATAAGTCTGAGGACTGATCATAAGATACTTTTCCTAACGCTGTTGTAACTTCGAATGGTTGCTAAATGAATGGTTATAAGTCAAGGACCGCCTGTATACAGTTTTTGGTTGAACAGTGTTTCTTACAAACATCTAACTGTTTTGCCACCTGTATGAGGTTAGCCCTCCATATACCATTTGGGTTACTACAATATGAACTTGAAATAGAGCCTAATCTGAATATATATTATAGCAGGGGTGTCAAACTTGATTGCATTGAGGGCCACATCAGGTTTGCTTTTGACCTCGGGAGGCCACAGTGGGAATGGCCAGGGTGGACGTGACCAGCTCAACATCATTCATGTCGGGCTGTCTGTAATGGCCCAAGTGCTCTGCCAGTGAAAATGAGCTCTCCAGCTCCGTTTCTGGCTGCAACTGCCTCCTGTAACTCTCTGCCAGCAAAAACGGAGCTCGTGAAAGCTGTACGCTGTCCTCCCGAGCTCTGTTTCTGTCTGCGATGGCCTCCTGCAACCCTCTGCCAGCAAATTTGTGAAAGCTGTCTGCTGCCCTTCTGAGCTTCATTTCCAGCTGTGATGTCCTCCTGCAACCCTCTGCCAGCAAAAACAGAGCCCATGAAAGCTGCATGCTGTCCTCCCGAGCTCCGTTTCAAACTGTGACGGCCTCCCACAACTTTCTGTAATGAAAACGGAGCTCATAAAGGCTGTGGGCAGCCCACCCAAGCTCCATTTCCAGTTGCAACAGCCTAACAGCCTTCTGCAACCCTCTGCCAACAAAAATGGAGCTCAGGATGGCCGCAGGAGTGCTGAGAACTGGTCCTTTGCTGTTTCCAGGGTGGCCCCATGGGCCAGGTATAAGCACCCTGCAGGCTGGATCCAGCCTGCGGGCCTTGAGTTTGACACCCCTGTACTATAAGAATACACCTGAATATACCAAGAAGGAATCAAAATCAAGTTACTTTTGGATTCTCCATCAGATCTAGAAAATTCATAAAAGTAAAAATCATCGCAAATCCCATTTGAGCCAAAATAAGAATCTGCTCTCACATCTCAAAACTGGAAGAAATATAATGAATTAGATCATTTTCACAATTTCTCCATTATTCTAAGTAGAGACCATCAAGGTATTTTGGGTTTAAAAACTCCCCATTTTCATTATTCAAACTTTTGACAATTTTCCCATTATTCAGTAAAGACACTTCAAGAAATGGTGACCAAAGCAATTATGAGAAATAATGGTGGTGCCATTCTATTTGTAATCTATGTAAATTATTAAATAAGGCTGATACAAACAATACACTCTAAAGAAAAATGATGCCACTTTATTATGTCTAACTGCCTTCTAGGTTTTTTTCAGTCACATTTATCTCAGCTCTTGACAAAAAGCAAGTCTTTTTTTTCATATGCCCTATGGAAAACAGAGCTGCGGATGCTGTTTTCCCTCAATCTCAAGAATGATCCATAGATCTAATGTCCTGCTTCCCAATTTCTGGCTCTTTATTGTCAGTGACGGATAATATTGATCTTTGAAATAGGAGACACGAAAGTTCATTTTTATCCTAGTGAATTAGTCTTCAGGCTGGCAAAATCCAGGGGTGGGCTGCTGGGGGTTCGCACGGGTTTGGGAGAGCCCCTAGCTAAGATTCTACGCAGTTTAGACAACCCCCAAATCCCACTCCTGCCTGGCCCTGCCCACCCCATCCCACCCCTCCCCGGAGTCCCCCTGTGGCCCGTTTTGGATGCAAATAAGTTCAGGATGTGCGCAGAGGCTCAGGAAGAGTGAAAAATGGGCCTCTCAGAAGTTTACGGCTTTCAGAGAGCCTCCGGAGCCCAGGGAGAGCAAAAACACCCACTTCCACTGTGGTGCAGGAGGCTGACTAGGCCACATCCATCATGGCCACACCCATGCAGCAACTGGGCAGAGAACCCATCGCTAAAATTTTTGAAGCCCACCCCTGGGCAAAATCATGTTTGGGATTCTAGGTGCACTGTGTTTAACAGGAAAGATACAGGTAGTCCTCGAGTTACGGCCACAGTGGAACCCAAATTTTATATTGCTAAGTGGGACATTTCTTAAGTGAGTTTTGCCCCATTTTACGAATTTTGTTACCACATTTGTTAAGTGAATCATTGCATTTGTTAAGTTAGTAACAGGTTTGTTAAGTGTATCTGGATTTCCCCTTTGACTTTGCTTGTCAGAAGGTTTCAAAAGGTAATCACATGATTCCAGGGCATTACAACCATCATAAATATGAGTCAGCTGCCAAACATCTGAATTCTGATCATGTGGCCATGGAGAGGCTGCAATGGTCATAACTGTGAAAAACGGTCATAAGTCACTTTTTAGAATAAAGCAAATAAATGCAATACAATTGCTTTTTTTATGCAAGATTTTTCTTGAGGTTCTCTTCTTTCAGAAAAATATTAGCTTATTTTAAGAAGACTTTTTAAAATTCTAATCTGCTTTTTACAATCTTATGGAAGACTGTTCCGTTGTCTCTTTTATACCATGTGGAACACATTTAAATAGTTGACAAATGTAGTTAAAAGGTTGGGGTTGCAATCCTTTCAAAATTATTCCATTTCCAAGTACAAGCCTACCAGAAGATGTGCATCTTTCTACCTGCCTGGCAAAATATTCACATTTTTAATATTCATAAAATGTGACTCTTTCATCAACTTAATCAAATGTTGTTTTCTGTAGAGACTTCAACAATTGCCTGTGTTACACACGACTGATCAGATTTGAGTACTGGAAAGTTAACATTTGGATGTAAGCTGCCCAGAGTCATTGATTGAGAGAGGCGGCTATATTAATTGCATGCATATATACATATATTAGACACCTCACCTTTGTAAGTGTTTGCATAGGTTTTTTTTTTAAAAAGAAGCATAAAGAAGTAAATGAAAGAAATAGCCAATATATTAAAATTATTGCAACTGTTTTAAATTTCTTCCAAGTTGTTATTCTACTTTTTGTAGTTATTAGGAGTTCACGAATGCATAAAACATTTTGAATAATGAACGTTGAACGTTCATAATGAATGTTGAATATTTTGCTGTGTGTGAATTTCATAAGGGCAGGATGATATATTTGAAATGAAGCATACATGTGAACAAGGGATGCAGTGGCTCAGTGGCTAAGATGCTGAGCTTGTCAATTAGAAAGGTCGGCAGTTCGGTGGTCCAAATCCCTAGCGCTGCATAATGGAGTGAGCTCCCGTTACCTTTCCCAGCTTCTGCCAACCTAGCAGTTCAAAAGCATGTAAAAATGCAAGTAGAAAAATAGGGACCACTTTGGTGAGAAGGTAACAGTGTTCCATGCACCTTCAGCATTTAGTCATGCCAGAGATATCTTTGGACTTTGCCTTTGTAACAGAGATAAGCATCACCCGCTAGAGTCGGAAACTACTAGCACGTATGTGTGAGGGAACCTTTACCTTTATACATGTGAAAGTTTTCTCCCTCTTGTTTTTAAGGGTGGAGTGAATGGCTTGACAGGAGATCTGGAATTTGCAGAGAATGGAGGGAATCCCAATGTTATATTCGAGATCCTAGGGACAAACTATGGAGAGGAACTAAGCAGAGGAATCCGCAAGGTAAAATCCTTTCTTTCTTTCTCTCTCTCTCTCTCTCTCTTTTGGAAATGTTTCAATGATGTTAAAGAACATTTTGGCAACAAAAAATTGCAATAAATATAACTAACTGACTGAGAAAAAACGTTTTAGAAAAACGATTAAAGGTTGCTTTGAAATTATTGTGGATGTTTGTTGTTCTTGATAAGATGATTGATATTTAATTAAATTTGCCACAGATCCATCTGTGGAACTATGGCCCTTATAGTTTCTGGCAAGATGTGGTGAAGACTGCTATTATATAGTAATTATGTCCCCCACAGTGATATTTTGCATTGACATGAACACAGAGTCTTGAACTGGGAGGATTCACGTCTGTTTTAAAATGTTAATTATCAAACAGGAAATCAACTAGAAAATTAAGTATTCCTGTATTTTAGCTTCTCATTTTGTTATAAATTAAGGTGCACATTTTGAGAAATTGGTATAATTGGTGGCATCTGCTGTTGTTATTTTAAAAAACATGTTGTTATTAAATGTATCATGAATTGCTCTGTAGGTGGTCTGATGGGCGTTCTTTAAGTTTTATATATGAATAAAAACAAACAAAAATATGATTTGCATAAGAATTAAATTTATAGTTCTCTCCCTGTTCAAATTGTTTCACTCCCTAGAAAAATAGAAAACACACTTGGTTCATTTTAGAGTTTGATTTCTTTTTTTAGCTTTTCTTCAGATTATGCTGCAAAGGAAAGAAAAATAAAATTGTGGATTAATAATTCAGAATAAAAGGAAATATCCGTATTTCATTCTGAACAGCTTTTGTTAATGAGTGATTTGAGGTATTGTTAAAGTCAAAGGAATGCTAATTGCATGGTTTGAGTGAATTCCATTCAGAAATCTAAATGTATTTAGTGTGTGCATAGACATTATTATGGTTAATCACACAGTCAGACAGATGTTCAGATTGGATTTGGCATTTTTGTCCACCTAATCAAGTCCTTCCCAAGAACCTGGGGTAGGTAGATGTGGATGTTTGATGGTTTTACAAATATCATCACAGGATGTAAGCTGTTCCAAATAAAGCTGCCTTTTGCAATTGACTGATAGTGAATTTACCAAGGCCAATAGTGTTCAAATGATAATCCAGTTGTTGTGGGGTTGCCCCACTATATCGCTATATGAAAATAAGTCTTGGCATTGTGTATAGATAATATTTTTGTTTCTCAATAAGTTGGGATCATGTTATATTTTATTTTTATATATGAAAATGGGACCTTATCTTATGATAGGATAAGTCAATTATCAGCTGTGTATATTTAACTTATTTATGCTGTATTTCTGAGAGATTTATTGGTTCTTATCAGCAAATCCAACTTCTAATCTACAAAATTAATGAGGTTTTTTGCTATACTGTATCTTGTTTTCTAACCATTGGCTTAGATGATGTCAAGTTCTATCATGTTAAAGTCAGGTTGCTACAAGTGTTTGTTAAATGTCAGCTATTTTTAAAAAAAGAGCTTTGTGTGAAAAAAGAAATACTACCTTTCTCTGGTCTTTTTTGCAATTTTACATGACTAAGGAAGATGTGTGTTTTCAATATCATTTATTGACGCTATTATGAGAGTTACTGACAATGAAGGAGAGTTTTAAACTGAGAATGGGTTGAAAAAATGTTTTGTATTTCAGAACACAAATTCATCTTGGATTTGTATTTAAAGGAATACTCCGGAATAAAATGGGCAAAGCAATATCATATATTAGTAAATTCTTCAAGCCTTTTGTCAACATTCATTTTCATTTTCTAGAAGTAATATATGCTTTATTGCTTGGTGCCTGATATCATGGGTATTAAGAATTTTTTTTAATGGACGCAGAAGATGGGAAAAAGCTTAGAATGATAATTTCTTTATAAAAAGGACAGAAGGCATTATTATATATTTTTTTATTTTTCATTTCTTTATTTCTACCTCCTTTTTTTCTGTATATTTTTAATACATTGAAAGTTGCTGGTGTATGTGTATATATAATTTTTGATAAATGAATAAAATATTTCACTATCCCGTTTAATAGAGCAAAATGTTATACATATGTAATAAATGTGTATAGACAAAACTATGAATATAGAATATAGAAGGTGTATTTGTATATGTTAGAAACTACCAGCAGATGGTCCTGGTGGAAAGTTTAATAAGCAACTATGTATTGCATTTATTTAGATTTTTGTTGTGTTACTCATTTATGTATAAGACTTGCTCTGATTTCTGTCCTGTAATAACAAGTCAGTGGTTTACAATCTTTGGATCAGTTTGGACCCAATTTGAGAGATTCTTTGGAATACTAATACTTCGGAATACTTTGCTAATTAGAAGGAACTTTTAATCAGTTCATTCTGTTTAATTTATATTACATTGATATAGAAATGGAGAAAACAATAAAATACCTTTATTATTATTAAATAATTGCTCCAGAGAGCTAATTCCATAGCTGAATGTTAATATGTAAATGCTGATATGGAAAACCAATCTTGAGACATTTCCAACACATGCTGAGATTGCAGCATAATGCCAGAAAAAAAGGCATTCATGTTCTCATCCCATTTGATCCCAAGATACTTAGCTTAACATATGGGTAACGTACCATTTTCTGATATCATGCTAACCAGCCTTCCCTCAGGTAGCAGATGGGTTCCATACAATATGCTGCATGTGGCATGTGGAATGCAGAAAGCTAACTATTGCCGGTTCATGTATTAATCGAAGCCACATGTCTTTGGGGAGGTCTTTCAGAATGATCTGAGACACGATGGCACAGTGGTTAGAATGCAGTACTGCAGAATACTTCTGCTGACTGCTGGCTGCCTGCAATTTGGCAGACTGAATCTCATCAGGCTCAAGGTTGATTCAGCCTTCCATTTTTCAAAGGCCGGTAAAATGAGGACTAAGATTGTTGGGGTCAATAGGCTGACTCTGTAAACCACTTAGAGAGGGCTGTAAAGCATTGTGAAGTGGTATATAAGTCTATGTGCTATTGCTATGTACAGAAGGAATGTTTAAAAGCCTTTTTGAATCCTGAAAGTGAGTTTATTCATTAGTGAATATGTCAAAAGAAAATGTCATAATGTTTTGACATCTTTAGATGGCATTTGACATTTGTCCTCTGTGTCTCTGTGTTTATTTTTTCATGCAGCAATAACCCCCTCCTCCAATCTCCCATTATGACTTTAAAGAGCAAGTCTAACAAGATTACAGATAAACAACTACAAAAAAATTAAATGTTAGCATCATTCCAGAAAGCAAAACAAAGAAAAAGGAAACAAAACAAACACAATACATCCCTCTTCATTTTAGCATTCTACTGTTTTCTAAAAATGTAGTGATGAAGGGTATTCTCTTTTATATCTGCTGATTCTTCTTTCCTGAAGTTATTCATTATTTATTTGCAACTCCATAAATACTGATGAAAGGGGATATATTTATAAGAAGAGATTGAAAATCATAAGGCATTTGGTGATGCTGCCAAATTTGTCAAAATCCTAGGCAAATTATCTTAAACATCCCCTAACCCAGGGCTGTCAAACTCGCTGCCCATGGACCAGATGTATCACGCACTGGCCACGCCCATGTCCAGTTTAATGAAGCGGGGGGAAAGTCCCAATACTTCCTGTTTGACACCTCTGCCAAAACTGGTGTAGGAAAACTGGGAAGTCTCTTGCCACTCACATCTACCCAACCCATTAGAGTGGGAATGCTGTGGGTCCCATCCCTGAGGGAGATATACCTGGTGTGACCCAGAAGAAGGACCTTCTCTGTGGTGGCTCCCTCTCTCTGGAACATCATTCCCCCAGAGTTTAGAATGGCCCCCTCACTAATACTCTTCCAGAAGGCACTGAAGACCTAGTTCTGCCAATGGGTCTGGGGAACTCAGAGCAGGATGGAGCCCATCAAATGGCTCATGTGATTTGCTGTTGTTGGGGCGGGGGTGGGAGTTGGGAGGTGATTTCCCTCCACAGATTATGTTCTATTGTACTTTATTAATTTATGTGATTCTTTTTATTGCTTTTTATTTTAAATATGGTTTTACATTCTGTAAGCCACCTCAAGTCGCCATGGGCGAATAGACGGCAATATAAATTCAGTAAATAAATAAAATAAATAAATAAGACAGACATTCCATAGGTTGCTTTGAGTTTCTAGTGATGATAATTGAAGTCTCCTTTTAAGTTAGCTTTTTGTTTTGTTTTCAGCTGGTTTAGAACAGAGTAGAGCAGAGCAGAGCAGAGTAGAATAGGGTAGAATAACAGAGTTGGAAGTGACCTTGGAGGTCTTCTAGTCCAACCCCCTACCTCGGCAGGAAGCCCTATACCACTTCAGACAAATGATTATCCAACATCTTTTAAAAAACTTCCAGTGTTGGAGCATTCACAACTTCTGGAGGCAAGTTGTTCCACTGATTAATTGTTTGTTATTCTATTATCTTTACCCTTTTTATTTTGATTTTATTTGTCTTGTTTCTATGTTGTAAATCATTTGCTGGAACCAGTGGCTGATAAATTTAAGTAATAATAACAACACCAATCTGACCTTCTTTTAAGACATCTATATGGCACTGAATTTGGTCCTTTCAGCCATTTTCTGCCTAGCACCACCAGTGAAGACAACTGAAAGAAACCAAAACATGTCAAGGAGATGCTTTCCTTCTGATCAGAGGATTCCACTTAAGCCCAATCATGTCTTGAAATAACTGGGTTTATTTTTCCTAGGAGAGAATAAAAATCCATTCACGTAATGAGGGAGGAGAAGAGATATTCTTTCTCCCTAAAGCCCCACAAACCATAAAAGATCAATGCTGTGTAGTATCTGCATAGGCCACTTCTGGATCACCCTAGGGTGATATGAATTGTTGGAAACTGTTGGATATTTATGGTCTCTGAAACATATTTCAGAGTGGAAAAATAGAAAAATAACCTTTTAAGATCCTGACTTTATACATTCTTTGACTTTGTATAAACTTTATAGTTTATAATGTGTATCCTTGCCATCATTTGGTAGACTTTGATGGCTTGCCTAAGGACAGGTTCAAAACTGCAAATCTCAGTGGGATTATTTTTTATAATTTTG